TACTAATCATCCCGACAACACAGCACATGCTAGCGCTGGTATTCTAATAAAATCATCAATAGAACACTAGTTAGCCAAATATCAACAAAACCATATACAGACAACATCAGGTTAAAATAAAAAGTTGCGAACACAATATCAGCCATCTACTGTCCTGCACCTCCATTTATTTATGATATAATAAATATATAGATATAATATTTTGAAACATTAGGTAATAAGTAATAGTTGGTGGGGACTTCAACTCTAAAAATACAATCTAGGGCTCAAGACTCACGACTCCAAAAGGTAAACAACTAGCAGAGTTAACATATGAGAAAAACTATACCATAATATCAACTGGGAGTCCCACTTACTGGCCAATAGACATAAAGAAGATACCGGATCTGCTAGATTCTTTTATAACAAAAAATATTTCAAGCAATTATATTGATATAGAAAGTAATGAAGACTTATCTTCGGATCATACGCCCATAATCCTGACCTAATGTAATAAAACCGAAGGTACAACGCAAACTATACAACCACAAAACGAATTGCTAGTGTTTCAGAAATGTAATTGATTTAAAAATCAACCTTAAACTGAGAATTAAAAATGAAAACGAAATGACGAAACAATTTATAGGTGCTCTTCAACAAGCTGCTAGGATTGCCGCACCAGAACTAGCGCAACAGAAACTGGAAATCAACGTACCAATGGAAATTAGGCAGCTTATAAAGGTAAAACAAAAGACATGAAATGTTTGGCAAATAAGTCATAACCAGCACGACAAAACAATATACAATAATTTGGCAAGAAAACTTAAACATGAATTAAAACAGTTGAGAGAAAATGGTATAATGAACTATATTACTAATCTTAACAAGCATGATAACACGGTTTGGACACCAATTAAAAAACTAGAAGACCTATAACAAATAACTCGGCAATAAATTTAGATTCAGAACGACCATGGGCGAGGAGAGATCAAAAAAAGGCGAATATGTTTGCGGACTATCTAAGAAACGCATTTACTACAAATGAAAATAGTCAACAACTGCGAGTATCTGATGAAATTAATGAGATAAAAGGCACTACTGAAAACATTAAACAGGTTACACCAAAAGAAATTAAGAGACAAATTTCACTTTTGAATATCAAGAAATTCCCAGGAATTGATCAACTGGATGCTAACATTTTGAAAGAAATGCCAAGAAAAGGTCTAATAATGCTGACTTAAATATTTAATAGAGTGCGACGTTTAGGATATTGGCCAAAGGACCTAAAAACCTTTGAAGTAATAATGTTATAAAAACAAGGTAAACCTAGTCATATGGCTAATTTATACAGACCAATTAGTCTTCAACCGGTTATATCTAAACTATTGGAAAAAATTTTACTAGTAAGAATCCAAGAAAATCTTGCCGCGATACCAGATCATCAATTTGGTTTTAGATAATCTCACTCCACTATACAACAGGCTCATAGGATAACTTCAATCATTCACAAAGCTTTTGAAGAGAGTGAGTATTGCTTTGCGGTATTCATCGACGTAAAACAAGCATTCGGCAGAGTGTGGCATGATGGGTTGATAGCCAAAATTGAAAAATGCTTACCAGATCAATTATGTATATACATAATTATACTTCAGGACTTCAGGACTGGAATAAGAGATGCTGTATCTGATTTTTACCCAATAAAATCGGGGGTACCTCAGGGCAGTGTACTAGGACCAGCAGTTTTATACACAATATATACGCACGACTTACCAACACATAACAACATAACACCACAATCACGGGTACATTCGCGGATGATACAATGATCATGGCAACACATCAAGATCCAGTAATCGCATCTCTAATCTTACAAGAACATTTATTCGCACTTGAAGAATGGCTCAAAGAATGGAAAATAAATATAAATGAAGACAAAATATATCACGTTTACAACACATCAAGATCCAGTAATCGCATCTCTAAACTCACAAGAACATTTATTCGCACTTGAAGAATGGCTCAAAGAATGGAAAATAAATATAAATGAAGACAAAACACAAAATTGTGAGGCGGTATTTATAAATAACATCGGAATTTCTCCTAGTACCAGCATTAATTATTTAGGACTATATCTAGACCGTAGGTCTCCATATCAAACAAAAGAGCAAACGCACGATGAGAAAATTTAAACAATTGTACTGGCTTATTGGTAGAAAATCGAAAAGGTCATACGCAAACAAGACATTAATATACAAAACCGTACTAGTACCAATATGGAGCTACGGAATAGAATTTTGGGGATGTGCAAGTTCATCAAACATAAAAATTATACAGCGTACCCAGAACAAAATATTAAGGGCAATGGTAGATGCGCCTTGGTATGTAACTAATGAGATCATCCACAGGGATCTGGAAATTAAAACTGTAAATGAAATTATAAAGACCCGGATCTGTTCTTACCACAACAAAATTGATGATCATTCGAACGCTGAAATACAAATCATCATCGAAATGGTTCAAACAAGCAGACTGAAAAAGAAATGGCCAAAGGGCCTGCAATATTAGAGGAGACCTCTAAACGCCGTATATAACATCATCACATAGGCTTATAGAAATGTATTCTGATTGTCTATTGAATAATAAATACAAAAATAAAAATAAATAATGCATTTTACTTCAATATGAAAGTCACTGACCCAAACCTAATGCATGATATTTATATCACAAATATTGAGCTTAAATGCTGCGGCAAAATCATATTACTACATTACTACATTACATATTAATAACACGAGCAGACAATTATAAAAAGAAAACGTTTTAACTTTTATGACGCAATATATATGAATTTCGATAAAATATTTTTATATACTAGTGAATGAACCGAAAAATAAAATGTTTAAAAAAAATCCAAATTCATTTGAAAGCTTGAAAAAATTTTTTTTGAAAATTTTAATTTTTTTCTGAAAAAAAATCTTTTTGAAAAATTTGATTTTTTTTATACTTTTAAATATGTTGGAAATTTTGAAATTTTTTTCGAATCAATCGCGATACGTTAGCTGCGTAGAAATGAAATATAAAAGCGCGTGAGGAAACCATAGAAATATAAAAAAAAATGTTCTGATTATTAAACTACTTATAAAATATCTGATAATGTGCATATAATCTAATGATCATTTTTGTCCGTCAAATTTTGTTTTATTTTACTTTTTTTATTGAGTCTTCGAAACCGATAGACCTACTTTCCCAAAAATATCAGTTTTTCAATTTTGTCAATACAAATAAAATGTTTTTTGAATCATTCAAATCGGGCGCTTCGTTCTCTCAAAAATTGAATTAGGGGGAAGTCCCCGAGTGCCGGACACCTAAGGTTATTTATAAATAAATCAAAAATATTTTACGAAATGTTTATTAAATTATGATTTATGTTAGATAACAAAGTTAGAAGCCAAACTAAATTAACAAAACCGCAATCTTTGCTAAAAAATAATTAATACTATCAATCAAACTTTGGTAACAAAAAATATGATTTTAAACAGTGGCAAATAGTACCGGACATTTCAAAATAACCTGCATTGATCACATATGTAGCCATCTCCGCACTTTGGAATGTTTTCACATGTGTTTTTGACCAATATTCTTAGATATTGCAAAAAAATCACTATTTACCGATGCTCTCAGCTAGAGCATTCATCATAAGATTTTCATTCTTTGACTAGGAAATACGAAGAATGGGGGTATGTTGTGACCGTTAGCACTCAGGCAGAACAAAATTTAATAATTGGAATAAATTATGTAAATTCTCACAAAAAATATCAATATGTTTACTGTCCGGCGCTAAGGGACGACTTAGTGTCTGATGCCATGTTCGTTCATTTGGTGGTACCTACTAAAATTGTTTAAACTATGTAATTATATTCTACCATTTTACGGATAACAATCAAGTACAACTTTTATCTTTCCATACCACTCAAATGTAAATGCATAAATGTGCTAGAATTACTTCCATTGATATATAGGTGACGCCGTGATTTTGCGCCTAAAACAGGAAAGGGTTGCTCTCGCCGTGGCCGTGTGCATCACAGGCGAGGCTTGGCACGTGATCCTGTACCTGGGTGCCCCCCATGCCCCTTTCACTTGTATTTTGAAATGAAAAGATTTATACTCGCTTAAATAATACGTATTAAACAGAGTGTCCGGTGTTTGGGCCGTCCGGCGTTACGGGACTTCCCCCTACCATTTTTGGCACTTTTTGCCCCGTATCTTCGGAACGGCCAGAGCTGCCTTTGCCAAGAACTATAATCATCGTTAATAATGTACATACATTTATGTGTATAGTATGCATGTTTGTGCGCATACAATTTTTGTCAACGTTTTCAGGAATAGAACAAGGGATCAACCGATTGAATGATTCAAAAGACATTTAAATTAACTGATAGGAAGATGTGCTGATTATGTTTTGGCAAAGGCAGGTCCAGCTGTTTCGAAGATACGCGAATAGTAAACGAATTGTTTAAAAAACATTTTACCTATATTAACGGACTGAAGAGTTGATTAAATTTATAGGAAGACGAAGATCCATCATTCGATTAGAATGATTCAAAAAACATTTTGCTAGTGTATGAAGAAATGATTTGTTTTTGGAAAAGCTAGAATCTAGTGGACTCAAAATTTTCAACAAAAATATGTATTCTCAAAAATCAAAAATGACTTTTTCAAATTTTCGAGCTATTAGTATAAGAATAAGATTTTTGACAATATTTAATATTTAAAGAGAAAATATCTACAATATACAGAATACGAATTTATTGTGGCCATAGAAATGGTATCAGCATTTAATGTGATTAACAAGTATTTGCACACATTGACTTTCCTCATGAAAGATGTTTATCCATATTGTAATTCGTTTTATTTTTATTTTATCCATATTATTACTTTTTCATTTTTTGATAACATTGATTTATATTTATTAAAAGTGATTTTTTACACAATTTTAATTAATTTTGTTCTTGAACTTAAAGCTCCCGAAAATGAATTGACATTTTCCGGAAACGAACATCATGAAGAGTCCAGAGGTGCACAACTGTACGTTTGTAGGGCTCGCTTGAATGGCGTCTGGGTGGCTGGCGGAACCAGGAATGAATCAGCTAGTTGTGCAATAGGACTACATGGTCAAGTTATGGCGGTTTCTCATTACGATGTGCTTCTGAATACTGAAGGTGGTGGACGCCTTACTTGGAGCACTTGGAATAGATTTACTGGAATTCCCATGGGTAAATGGAAATGATGAAAATTTGTAAATTATATTATATATATAGATATATATATATATATATATATATATATATAATATAATTTAAAATATCTAAAAAATATTTATAAAGTTTTAAAAAATAAATTTAATTTTATATTTAAAATAATTAAAAGATATACATACCACACCAGGAAAAACCATTTTATGAACAAATACATATAGAAAAACCAATCATACATTACATATAAAATAAATATAGAAAATAAACAATATTAACTCAACATGTTTTGCTTTTAATTTTAAAACTGAAAATTTGTGTAATGTAGTTATGAGCGAATGGAACGCAAACGAAAGTCACGTGACACACAAGGAGTGATTGGAGAGGGATTTTCAGGGATAGTTAAACAGCGAGGACACAAATTTGGAAAATAAAACATATCAAGTAGAACATGAAACACAATAGTCAAATTTTGGAAAATTATTTATTTTTTGAAAAAAACACAGCATTTTTCCAAAAAATAAATAATTTTCCAAATCTATTTGTTTCTTTTATTTCGACGACTGGCTGAAAATCATTATTCAAGATATATATATATATATATATATATATATATATATTAGGGTGGTCCTTAAAATGGTCATTTTCGAATTTCCTTGCTCCCAGGGGCTCAAATGGTTTCAAATAGATAAAAAACAATTCTCTGAAAGTTTTAGCTCTTAATATTAACGTTTAGATAGAGCGCAATTCAATCAAAGTTTGTATGGGAAGAGCATGGAAAAATTTTTGAAAATTTAAAAAAAATGTTTTAGGTATAACTTAGCGACAAATGAATGAGTTTTATTCAGATGATCGACACAGTTACTCGTAATTTTAACAGTGTTGACCAAAGTAAAAACGCAAAACTTGAGAATCAAATTCAATTTAATTATTTCCATCTGATGAGAAAATAATTGATTTTTGGATTAATTTTATATAAAAATTATGTAGTAAAATTTGTAATAAAAGCTTTGTAGTAAACATACTTTTGCTTTCAAAAATTTTTATCCGCTATTTTCAGTCGAGAATTAATATTATATCGCGTAGTTCGATTAGCATATTATTACTTTTACACAATTATATAATTGTGTAAAAGTAATAATATAATACTTACAGTCTGCATCGAGCATTCGTGCGATACACATCGGTAAATAAATTTACATAATCTGATAAGAGCGAGTGAGTCAGTAAGTGAACAATGGAGTCCGGCCAGTACGGCCAGGAAAGTGACGACGATGACAGTGGTCATCATGATTTTGAGGATTGTGAATTGAATCCAGTTGATAACAGAATTACGTCAATAGAAGAGTTTGAATACGAAATGGATGACATTAGTGATTATGAAATAAATGATTTGGATAATAATATTAATGAAACAAAAGTTAGTGAAATTAATTTAGTGAAAAATTGTGAATATAAAAAAAGTAATAAGAAAAGTATTAAAAAGGGAGTAATAGATTTTAGAAAGAAAAGAAGATTGTTAAGTAATAAAATATTTGATAAGAATCGCGAAAAGTTAAGTGTGATAAGGAAAAAAGGTGAAATTGAAGTACAAGTTAACAAAACACGTTTAGAGAAAACTAATAATGATGGAATTAATGAAAACGATGTAAATATCGATTGGGCAAGTGAAGTAAATGAAGAAATGGATAGTAACTTAAATAAAAAAACCTATGAAGAGGAGTTTTTATATTATGATGAAAGGAACGAAGGTCCATTTGTTATATATGCAGAATCAAAAGATAAAAATTTGGGTAGACTACATCCAATGGCGTTAGGAAGAATTTTACATACAAAAGTGTCAAGTGTTAGTAATAAGATAAGTAATGTTGCAGCTATAGGTATAAATAAAATAAAAATATGTTTTAATGATTGGAAGAGTGCTAATACAGTGGTAAAACAGAAATTACTGGACGAGTATAATATTAAAACTTATATTCCGAAGCATAAAACTACGAGAATAGGTATTATATTTAATGTAGATCCAGAGATTGAAGAAGATGAAATCATGAGTTGCATTAAAACGGATGTTGAAATTATTAAAGTGAAGTGTATTAAAAATAAAAAGACATATAATAGCAGCTATAAAACACAAAGAGTGAAGATTTGGTTCAGGGGCAGTTATCTTCCAGAAAATGTATTTATTCATTCAGTAGCTTGCGAGGTTCAACCTTTTATTGAAAATGTTATACAGTGCCACAAATGCTGGAGGTTCGGCCATATTCGTCTTCAGTGCCAGGGCAGGCAAAGATGTAGAAAATGTTCGGATGAACATGATGTAAAAGAATGTGTGAGCCAAATAGAAATATGTGCTTTATGCCGAAATAATCATCAAGCGAATGATAGAAATTGTCAAACGTATTTATATAATAAAAAATTAAAGGAGTTGAAAGCATATCAGAATATTTCTATAAGTGAAGCTAAGCAAATATTGCGTAAGAGAACATATGCAGATATAGTACAGACCAAATTTTATAACAGAGATTATCAAAATGTATTTCCTTCATTAATTAAACAATCAGATAATCAATTAAACAGATTTAATAATAACAAGTTTGAAATGTTAAATCATATTAAAGAAAAAGAAGTAGAAATTAATGAAGAAAATATATTGAAAATTAGAAAACCTAAGCACACGACATTAAGAATTGAAGGAAGACAAAAAAGAATAAATGCAGAAGAATACAAGGAAAGGAGAAAGGAAGTAACGAAATACAATAGTGAAGAAAATAACCCAAATAAAAATGAAGATGAAAAAGAAAAAAAAAGAAGATGAAGCAACAATTCAAAGAAATTTTTAACAAAATAAGGCACAGATTAAGTTTTAAAACAGAGATAAACACAGAGAATATATGGACAGCCCTGGAAGAAGAAATAGAATCATTGTGTACTGAAAAAGCAGTGATGGAAACTAATAAAATAGGCAATGTTATTGAAGATACAGGTACGGAATAATAGTTTAAAATATAATAAATTCAACAACAAAACAATTATGGCAAGTAGAGTTATTATGGAAAAAAATAAAACTAATATTTTAAATATGAAAAAATTTAAAAATAAAAATATTAAAATTATGCAATGGAATGCAAGATCTTTACCGTCAAATAGAGAAAGTTTAGAGAATTTTATTTATGAAGAAAACATTGATGTTATTTTGATATCTGAGACTTGGTTTAAAATAACTCAGGAATACAAGTTTAAAAATTTTATTATAATTAGAGAAGACAGATTAGATGGAAAAGGAGGAACTGCTATATTGATTAATAAAAATATGAAGTTTAAAGAATATAAAATTAATAGGGAATACATTAATATGGATTTGTGTCAAATGTGTGCTGCAGAAATATTATTAGGAAGTAAGAAAATAGTATGTGTATCATTATATGTTTCACCAAAGGCTAATATTTCAGAAGGGCAATGGAATAGTTTACTGAATGGAATTAAAAAACCCTGTATAATTGGAGGAGATTTTAATTTTCCATAGTCAAGCTTGGGGTTGTGACTATAAAGATACAAAAGGACGTAGACTACTGGAAGCGATAGAGGAGAACCAACTTTTTATATTAAACGATAATAATAAAGTAATTAGTAATAGAATATGTAAATCAATAGTTGATATTACTATCTGCTCTTCAGACATAGCACATAAAATAGTATGGGATATGTATAATGATGATCTAGGATCAGATCATTATCCAATAATAATGGAATTAAATGAAAAAAAGATCTTTGATGAAACTACATCTAATAGAAAATGGAGGTGTAGTAAGGCTAATTGGGAGCAATATAGAAAAGAAATTGAAGAGAAAATTGAAACAATTAAGATTTCAAAAAAAGAAATAAATTATGACACTTTTGTGGATATAGTTAATGAAGCAGCAATGAAGAGTATCCCAAAAACTGAAGGAATAGTAAAAAAAAGGATAATAAAACAAATTTGGTGGGATGAAGAATGTAACACCTTAATTAAAAAAAGGAGAGAAGCAGAAAAAAAATATAGGAAAAATATGAACTTAGAAAACTATTTACAATGTAATCTTGTTAAAAATGAGGTAAGAGCAAAGTTAAAGCAAAAGAAAAAAGAAAGCTGGGATAACTACATTAAAACTCTGAACCCAAACACACCAACCAAGCAAATATATAGTATGATTAAAAGATTGAAAAATATTGGAGAAGATACTGAAAAAGAAAATAAAAGATGCGACAACAATTGGATAGATATGTTATTGAATAAAATAGCCCCAATGGGAGTAAAGGATAGTTGTATGAGATTGCAATACTTGAAAGATAAAAACTATATCAAAGAAGTCATGAAACCGTTTAATATATGGGAGATGGACGTCGCAATGAATAGGAGAAAAGACACTGCACCAGGAATAGATAATATTCATTACGTTATGTTATCTGAATTACCAAATATAGGTAAGGAAGTGCTATTAAAATTAATCAATAAGTACTGGTTGGATACACAAATAGTTAGAGACTGGAATAAATATAATATAATTCTCTTTAAAAAGACAAATGGAAATGCAGATAATACAGATAATTACAGACCTATATCACTAGCATCGTGTGTTGCTAAAACCAAAGATTTAATGATAAAGAGAAGATTGGAGTGGTTTGTAGAGAAAAATAAAATATTATCTAAAAGTCAATACGGATTCAGAAGAGGGCTGAGTACGAAGGATAATTTATGTAAATTAATGGTTGATATTAATTTGGCATTTTCAAGAAATAATTATGTGGTGGCACTCTTTTGCGATATTAAAGGGGCATATGATAATGTCGTCCCAAGAATAATGTTCCAAGAATTAATTAAAATAGGATTACCATTCCGATTGGTGTCAGCCTTAACATTTAATATATATGAAAGGAATATAATAGTTAAGAAAGATAACAAAATAATTGGTGAAAGAGTAGTGAATAAAGGACTACCACAAGGAGGTATACTTAGCCCATTATTGTATGCTATATATGTAAGAGATATAGATAATATTTGGGTAAGAGGGACGAATATTATACAATATGCCGATGACATACTCATTTATGTAGAACAAAGGGATTTAAATCTAGCGTTTAATATTATGAAGGAAAATATTAAAAAACTTCATGGATGGTTGAGGGATAAAGGCTTGGAACTGTCGGATGAGAAAAGCTCGATAGGGGTATTCACAAGACATAGGTTGAATGATTTACCAACTCATATTAGTACAGAAGAGCATTCAATAGCGGTTAAAAATAGTAATAAATTTTTAGGAGTCAAGTTGGATCAAAAATTGAAATTTAAAGAATGTATACAAGATATTAAAAAGAAAATAGAAAAAAGGATAAACCTATTAAGAGTGGTGAACAAAACATGGTGGGGTGCTCATCCACAAACGAGTTTAGAGCTATATAAAACTTTGATTAGACCAATTTTAGATTATGGTAGCATTGCTTATCACAGTAGTCCACATGTAAAGGTGTTGGATAAAGTACAATATAGATGTATCAGAATATGTATTGGCGCAATGAAATCCACGCCAATAAATGCAATGTTAGTTGAAAGTGGAGAATTACCTCTAAAACTAAGATGGAAATATTTAATCCATAAATATATTTATAAGAAGATATTAAGAAGAGAGCCAAATATTATTAGTGGATTAGAAGAATTGGAAAAATTAATGGAGAATAATAAATTTTGGGATAATAAGCAAAATATTATGGTAGACAGTTTGAATTTCATGAAGAAAACTAATGTTTATAAGATATATGAAAACAACGTTAATCTTAAAAAATTATGGTTTGATGAAGGTAAACAATTTTTTGTCAATATTAATAAAGAAGAGACAAATATTATAAACAGTAGAGGATATGAGGAAATCTATACAGATGGCTCTAAAGTAAATAATGAAGTAGGGTGTGCCATGATCCATGAGAAGAAAGAATTTCAAAAATTGATAAAACTACCAGATTTTGTTTCAGTATATACTGCGGAATTAGTAGCTATAGGAGAAGCGGTAAAATATATTAAAAACTTCAACATAAGAAGAGCAATTGTATATACCGATTGTAAAAGTTGTGTAGAAAAATTAATAAGCATAAACAAAAAAAATCTTTTTGAGGAAGCAATTTATACAGAAATTCGAAGCGAGTTAGAAAATATAAAATTGATAGGAAATGAGATAAAAATTACGTGGATCAGAGGACATAATGGAATAGAGGGAAATGAAAAGGTGGATAAATTAGCAAAATTAGCAACGAAACAAGGAGAAAAAATGGACATTATGCTGAAAAGTGATGTGGAAAACATAAGTAAAAGAAATGTGGAAGAGGAATGGCAAAAAATTTGGGATGACACGGTAAAGGGAAAAACATATAAGACTATAGAGAATAAAATTAGAAAAAAAACTTGGTTTAAAAGTCTTAAAAATGAAGATAGAAAATTTATAACTACGTTAAGTAGAATCAGAATAAACCATGGCAATTTTCCAAGTCACTTATATAAAATTGGTATTAGGTCTTCAGCTATCTGTGAATGTGGAGAAGAAGACGGAAATATAGAACATATTATTATGAAATGTAGCAGGTATATAAAACAACGAGAAGAAATGCTGGACAAATATTATGACGACAAAAGTATAATAAAACCAATTGCATGGATTTGCATAATAAGAAATGAAAGAAATTATAAAATATTATATGAATTTATTGTAAAATCTAAATTAGTTATATAATTTTAATTTAGTAATAAGATGTTATGTATTTATTCTTAATGTATATTCATTATGTTTGTATATGACCAAATGTTATATAACGAAGTCAAATATAAAAAAAAAAAAAAAAAAAAATAATATAATACTAAATATTTTTTGCTGGTTAAATACTAATGATATCACTGATACATTTTGTACTCTAAAGTGTTGTTATTTCAGGCTATAGAAAAACCAGATTAAATAATATTGTTCGGTATGTGTATTCGTTGTCGTCATTCACGGCCAAAGATTGTCGTAGTTAGAAATATGACCCCTTACTATTCAATAAAACATACATTTGAGCTATTCACACTTGAACAATTTCATTGTTCTGTATCTTTGAAGTAATGTTTTTGTATTTTCTGGAAAATACACAATGGTATTTCGAGTTTTATACCTAAAAGGTCATAAAACTGCCTCTCGGACGAGAAAGCGACCGCTATTCCTTCCCAAAGCAAAAATGCCAAAAACAGTAAATGTCTGCACGAATTAACAGATTTAATACTAGTTTATTAAAGACGGATATGACAAATCCTGTGAGACAACCTTTGGAAATATTTAAGGGTTGTTATTGTTAAGAAAATTGCAAAAACAAAAAAAATATGTAATCATTACAAAGTTCACTTCAATATGAGTGTAATAAAAATAAAATAATACTGATCCGATAAGCACATCCGGAGATAATTAATTTACCGCAGATGATGTTCATAGAAATTGAGCAAAAAATCCATATTTCAATCGTAAATATTTACGTAAAAAAATTTTTTTCAGCAAAATCTTGAAATACATGTGAAATGATTATATGAATAGTATCTGTAAACAAATTTTCAGACAATTTTAAAATGTCATGGTTAATTAGTGTTCGGTTTGTAAAAGAATGACCCATATATATATTTACCTTAGTTTCTTTACTAGTAACTAGATTTTTCTAATGATGAAAAAATCATAACATATTTCTAACGTTCCATAAATCTGATCATGTATAATGATTTTTATCATTTCTTCAGAGTTCAGACATTCTGCAATAAAAAGTGCAAATTTTAATTGGTTTGTTTATTGTTATTTTTATAAAGAATATTATTATAGGTTATTAATTTAAATTTATTTATTTATTGACTATTAAATGTTCAGGTGCTGTCGCATCTGAAGTTCGAGGAAGCGGTGGACTTGAAATGTATTCTTTTGTTGCACGTAGAGCGGTAAATGCTGATGATAATGATGCACAAGGTAAACATGACTAAATATTGTTTATTTCATAAAAATATGTTAAGAAAGTATTATATTATTTTATTAACACAACTGCTGGCAGATTTATATATATATATATATATATATATATATGTGAGTATATATGAGAGCCACCACAAATAAATCATTCCCTTACTCTTTAACCTTTTTTTAATGTATTTTTCTTTCCGAACTTCTGCTTTCATGGTTCTTGATCTTGTGCTTCGGCTTTCAGTTCCCTGTATTTTCTCTTCTCGCGTAGGTCGTCAATCGTCTGCATTCTTCTTCTTCCCAGACCTTTTATTCCTTCTATTTTACCCTCGACGACGTCGTGCAGGAGGCACTCTTTTTGCTAAAGAAGTCCGATTCAGTTTCCTTTTCTTCTCAGAATTGTGCTCATTAGAGTCCTTTCTTCGCCCACTCTTCTCAGGACTTCTTCATTTGTTATTTTGTATGTCCACTTTATTTTTTCCATTCGCCTTCAACACCACATTTCAAAACTCTCGAGATAGTTCTTATCGGCCTTTCTTAGAGTTCATGTCTCCGATCTGTACAGAGCTATGCTCCAGACGTAGCACTTTGTTAGTCTCTTCCGCAAATCGAGACTCAGTTTGCTCGTCAGTAGCATTCTCTTCTTCGTGAATGCCGTCTTGGCGCTTGCAATCCTTGTCCTGATCTCTTTCGTGTTTCTGCCAATCTATAAAACAGAAGCATATATATATATATATATATATATATATATATATATATATATGTATATATATAATACATAGCAAGCTATACACACAGTACATTCAGTTACTTTAATAGTTAAATTTGATGTGACTGCGTGTGAAGGATCGCTATCCTGCGATAGCACCTACCCAGATATTATTTATAAAATTGATTTATTTTATGTTTGACAGTATTTATAACGCTACTTGTAGTAAAATATTAATATATTGTGATTTTCCAAACTTGCCTTCGTATCTCAAGAGTGAAAAATGAATTTTTGATATAGGATAGGGGCACAATGGCCCAATTTGATTTTGAGCAATTTTATTTGAAAAAACCAAACCAATTATATCACAACAAATAACACATAACAAATATCAATTATCTGATGTTCAGTAAAACTCCCACACAGCGAAATACATCATTGTAAAAATGTGGTATTGTTGTTTCTCAAAAATTTGTCACCTGGTCACCTGATCCAATGTCTTATTTTTAATTTTGAAGGGATTTTACGAAATAATAGGTACATTGTGGGGAAATCAAGCAGGCTAGTCATTATTGTAAAAAAACGATTGGACTTGTCATTTATATTTTTTAATATCGGTAATATTTTATAATGAATAAAATACGAGATGAAGATAAAGGAGTTTTATTTTTCGAGGATTTAAGAAAAATTGATTTTGACGCAGCACCATAATCACTGGTCTTCAGAGACGACCTATAAGGTACGTCCAGTCCACGATTCATCATAGTTAACGCACTTACTATCTGGATCGGACTTCCGTGGTTACATATTTGGTATACCCAGATCTCAGTGTTTATTGCTGACAGAAAAAATAATTTGGAGCCTAAACTTTTCATTGGAATGCAATTCAACCTCTCCTTGTCTGTTAACTCAACAAATCGTCTTTTGATGCTACCTCCCATTATCGGTGACAACGACGAGTCAAAACAAAATTTGACGTAAATTATTTATTGGATTCCACAATTCTGGACTCTTATGTTAAAGAAACCAATGATCCTGATTTGGATAAAGAGCCAACTTCTTTCTCTGATCAGAACCCATCAGATACGAATGCAACGCTTAGAGAAATGGAAACTGTACCCATAAATTATGCATTCTAAACATTAAGTAATTCTGATATAACTAATACCAATTAGATCGAGACTGAATCTTAGAAGTTCACCGACATCGAGGTTCAGGAAATTTTCCACATGTTTTTTTTAGTCAGAACCTTATGCAGAATATGGAGTTGGTGGAAGGTCGAAAGGTCTCAGAAACTCACTTCACTGAAAAAAACTACTTTAAAATTTATAACTACACTACTTATAATTCAAATCACCCAAGTGGCAGGGCTCGCGGCGGTTCGGCTATATTAATCAAAAATAATATAAAGCATTTTGTTCTACCAAATATTTCTGATGATTTTCTACAAGCAACTCAAATTTCTGTTGAAACAAATTTATATAATTTTTGTGTTTCTGCTGTTTATTGTCCACCAAGATTCAAAATTTCTTGTGCTCAGTTTTCTTCATTTTTCTCTCAATTAGGTAATAAATTTATCATTGGTGGTGACTTTAATTGTAAACATATTGCCTGGGGTTCTAGACTGACTACAGCTAAAGGAAAGATTCTTCATGCAGCCATAGGGCAAAATAACCTCTCCTTTATTTCAACTTGCAGTCCAACTTATTGGCCTTCTGACCCTACTAAGGTTCCAGACCTTTTAGATTTTTTTATTGTGAAAGGTATTGATCTTTCAAATCTCAATGTTGAATCTAGTTACGATCTCTCTTCAGATCATTCTCCAATACTTGTGACGTTTAGCACATTTCCTACTCCAGTTATCAACAATCATATTCTACACAACAATCTTTCTAACTGGATTCAATTCAAATCCATACTTGATTCAAAATTATTTCCAAAAGCTAGGCCTACAAGCGTTATTGATATAGAAAATAATATAGATTATTTTTCTGAGATTGTACGTGAAACAACCAAGCAGATCACCCCGAACATTATTCCAAGAAATGATAATCTAATAATTCCGCAAGAGATTAAGAAGCTAATTGCACAGAAACGAAGAGCAAGACGTACCTGGCAACATTCTCATCTACCAACGGATAAGACATCGCTCAATCATCTCAATAACACGCTGAGGAAAAAAATGAAAGAATGGAAGAATTGTACATTCAGGTCGTATATATTGCAGCTAAATAGATACGATAATTCCATATGGAAACCAATCAGAAACAAAAGTAAACCCCTACAACAAAACCCTCCTCTGAAAAAAACCAACCAAAACGGATTCATTTGGGCAAAAAGCAACGAAGAAAAAGCGGAGGCATTTGCTGATCATCTAAGTAGCATTTTTAGCGCTCGAAATATTTCCCAGAATAATTTAATTAACAATTTCGTAAATCAACCCATACATTCTACACCGTTAGGACATTTTTCACCAAATGATGTCTTATGTGAAATAAAAAGGATAAAAAATAGATCTTCGCCGGGTATGGATAAAATTACTCCAAAGATGTTAAAGGAATTGCCTACAAAAGGTATTTTATATATAACAAATATTTTCAACGCCATACTTCAATATAATTATTGGCCCACAGCGTGGAAGACTGCAGAAATTATTATGATCGCTAAACCAAACAAAAACCATCACACTGCTAGTTCATACCGTCCTATCAGTCTTTTATCGATATTATCGAAAATTCTAGAGGGACTTTTGTTGCAGAGATTGTCAGAAGATCATCCGAATGATAGTTGGATTCCTCACCATCAGTTTGGCTTCAGAAAAAATCACTCTACAATTCAACAATGCAACAGAACGGTGTCTCGTATTCTTGAAGCCATGAATAGAAAGGAACACAGCGTAGCCGTATTCTTAGATGTTAGTCAGGCTTTTGATAAGGTTTGGCACTCAGGACTCCTATACAAAATCAAAACAACTTTTCCAAACTACTTCAATATCTTAAGCTCATATTTGCTTAATAGAAAATTTAGAATCAAAATTAAAGATGTGACTTCGAGCATCAGAAATATAGAATGCGGGGTACCACAGGGCAGTGTGCTAAGCCCTGTACTTTATCTTCTTTTCACAAACGATATGCCCACAGATGATCTTCTAACCATATGCACTTACGCCGATGACATAGCAATTATTTCATGCAATTCCGATATTAGAACAGCAACTTGTCAGTTACAAAATTATTTATCTAGTCTCGAAAAATGGTTTTTAGATTGGAATATCAAAATCAATATCGAAAAATCTCAGCACATAATTGTTTCTCTAAAACATCACAACAATCCACCTATCATCATGAACAATTCAATAATTCCACTATGCAATTCTGTTAAATATTTAGGCATGCACATTGATTCGAAATTGACATGGAGAACGCACATTGAATATAAAAAGAAACAAATCCAACTGAAAATAAAAGATTTTTACTGGCTTTTTGGGAGGAAATCTGAAATCTCTCTCGATAACAAGGTACTTTTGTATAAAACTATCATAGTGCCCATTTGGACTTATGGAATCGAACTATGGGGTTGCTCATGCAAATCTAACATAAACATCATTCAAAGGTGCCAGAATAAAATTCTGCGTATCCTTACTAATGCGCCTTGGTATATTTCGAATTTTTGCCTACATAAGGATTTGAAAATTTCAACAGTCAACGAAATGATCAAGATTAGAAGTTCATCTTTCAACAACAAATTAATCCAGCATACAAATCCTACAATTCAAGCGATTCAGAGACCGATAAGAAGATTGAGCAAGAAATGGCCTTCCGATCTACCAAACACCTAGCCCAATGTCTGCACGCGTCCTGACGTAGTAAGCGGCATACATCATCACGTCATCGTTCATTTATGTTATTATTTTTGTATTACTGTTTTAATTTAATTTTTATTTTAACTTTTTCCATTTTATATTCAATGTATTGCATTTTTTGTTTTTTTTTTTTGTATTTTTTTTTGCTCATATCAATTTTGTAAATAAGACATTAAAGTCTTGATTAACAAAAATAAATTGTAACAAAAAAAAAAAAAAATTGCCTGATCTGCTCATTTGCCTGATAAAGTGCTACAACGTTGTACGTTTTTGTTATTTTCGGAAACTTGGATTAATAATGAAGAACGAATTGATATTCCGAACTATTACTGCATACTCAATACAAACGATCAAACTCAAGAGCAGGTGGTGTAGCTGTCTATCATTCATGTTCAGATACTCTTCATAGTGCGACTCCTATGCAGTTTCTTGCGCCAACAATATTACTGGATATTCCTAATGAAATTACACAAGTAGGTGATATTGCAGTTGTCCGCTGTGTGAACACTCAGAATCAAACATTAATTATAGTCGTCCTTTACATTTCTCCCAATAAAAACGTATCAAATATTATTAAATTTCTTCATCAGCAGTTACTTCATTTTTCTAATGAGGGTGCAAAACTTTTAAATACTAATCACAGAGATACCATTAATTATTGCTGGAGATTTCAATGTCAATTTTAGTTCAGAAAAATCTCAACCATTAATTGATTTTTTAAATAATAAATTTAATTTAACAATGAATAATTCTCCATTTGAATCAACCACAAGATATGGCACGACTATTGATGCAGTTTTCTCAAGAAATGTACATAGTTTACAAAGCAAAATTTATGTCTTTCATTTCAGTTATCACAAACCTATTATATCATATATGAAATATGATAGCAATTAATCTATCGCTGTTGTTTTAAACTGTGTTATTGATGTTATGTGATTATTAATATATGATTTTTAAAATTCAAATATGATGTTTTTTTATTTTTATCTTAATTGCCTACTCATACAATATTAAAAGTTTTACTTCAATCGCGTGTGATCCTTACGCGCACTCTTTTTTTTAATATCAGTAATATTTTATAATGAATAAAATATATATATTTTTTATATGTTGGGAGTTTCTAATTTAATATATTGTCATAATCATTACGACTCCCACAACATTATTCATCCAATGCAAAATATAAATTTCATGGGTACAATTTTTACAGAGATAACACTGTATATAATCTTGATATGGTATTTTTGCCAGAAATAATCATCAGCATAGTTAGAATAACTATTTATTTAACTTATCTATTGTAAAATTGCTTTTGTTGAGTTTACTTTATTATTTTTATTTACTATTTTTCATTGTTTGCACCCTTTTCCATGTAAAAGTTTAATTAGTTCTTTTAATCCCACCAATATGTGAGCTTTATAGAGGTTATGTAAAAATAGTTGAATCTAACTTAAAAATAACAACTTATCTTATAAAACGATTAAACAATGTATACGATGGTATACGCTATACCTAAAAGATATATTAAGGTCTCATAAACTAAACAATAGTGCTCAAAACAAAAAAACTAACAACGAAAGAACATAATTTTGTAGTGGATTTTCAAAAATTGTCGTTTATCTCCCGATAGCGACGTCGTTAAAAAATTCTTAACTTTACTTGTTTTCAAGATATCGATAGTGGACCTTATTACCCGTGGGCTTCTAAGCCCCTCTCTACTCTATTATAAAAATTAGTAGTAATTTTATTATTTTTTACACAGGCGTTTCTCATTATCTCGGTCACATCGACATCGAAGGCCAGCTAGATCCCGGAAAAATATCTGTTGTAGAATCGGATCTTCTGAATGAAGTTTCTTCCTCAGTCGAGACGTATCACACAGAGGGCGAAATCTTAGTTGAGACGGAACCTGTCCGTTATGAATTGCGCAACGTAAAAGAAAACCGTTGGCGTTCGCGAATCACGTCTAAACAACGCAAGATGTTGGCTAGCGTACTTCTGAAAAATGAAGAAATGAATGGATTTGTAGATGTTGAAGCAATTTTGGCCTATAATTATACTAAATCTCAATATTGGGGACAAGGCCACGCAGCCATTACAGCTTTGCCGTTGAGTGTTTATCATCAAAATGGTACCATGATTGGAAATTTAACTTGGGGCCAGAGGGGGCACCAGCAGGAACAACAATTGAGACAAGTCAGATCTAGTTTACCCGCGGGAGCTGCACAGAATGTCTCGGTGGTTGGAAATTTGACAAAGATTGAACGGCCGTATTCAGGTGAGAATATCATATAGACAATAATTTGGTTATTGATTTTATGATGAATTAGGAATCATATCATACTTAAATTATACAGCTTAAAATATTTCATTTACTTATATAGTTAATCTAAAACATTACACTAGAAATAATTGAAAAGTATAAAGTGATCTAAAGTAAAACTGCAGTGACAATGGAGTCAAATTATATGTTGCGCTTTCACATCGTAGAGCTATCTTTGGCAAGAATGCCAATAATAATAATGTGCAAATTATGACAAAAATTGTCTGCAGTAATTCATGTCGAACCGCAATTATTAATCTTATTTTCTTTCTTTAGGAAAACTCGTTTCTATCTACGCCGATGGCCTCAAAATGCAACGCGATTTGTCAACGAGTCTAGAACGCGAGGATATGCTTGATGTAGAAGTCATCTATGGTGAAATGTATTTCCTGCACAATGGAAGTTTAGTTCCGACAACTACGACTACAACGACGACCACAACTACTACAACGACGCAAAGGGCCACCACCAAATTGAGCACGAGTACCAGCACTAGCACACAGGTATGAAATGCATTTTGTTCATTTGGTCAGGCAGAAATGATCATTAATAGAATAACCAGTGAAATATAAAGTGCAGAGTTTCAAGCACAAAGTTCAGCCACATTTCGCCTTAGTCAATGAGACCAGTAACATTGTGAAAAGAAAAGTGAAAATTTATGTCCACGTTTTAACACACAATTCTGAATCGATTTTAAAATTTCAAAAACCGGTCGAAAGGTATTGGTAGGGAATCGTGCTGATTATTTTTCGGTGAAGATCGGCTTGAGCCGTTTTCGTGTAAAAAAATATTTAAAAAAAATTCGACGGTGCTATGTAACATAATAAAATATCACGGCCCTACAACAATTTTTTTTTTTTTTTAATTCATCAAGGTTTGAAAAAATATCGCATAGTGATGTGATAAGTCAAAATTTGAATGTCGTCAACATTTTCTCAACTACGGTTGTACCGATTTCACCAATTTAAAAGCCACTGAAATAAACTCGATAAGAAGGAGAAGCCACGATTAGGTTTGTGAGGCGATCGGCCAAGCAATTTCTTTAGAATTAGCAAAAATATTGCAATCTCAAGTTTGTGGATCTGTTAATTGTTCACAGAAATTAATTAGATTATATTATACATGTGTCACCTAACGAGCAGTCTACAAAACTACTCTTGTTGTGTACAGAGAGTTACCATTGATTTTGTTTTCTGTATTTCTGAATTTGTGTAAGTGATAAATCTAATTTCAATTAAAGTTAGCTACTCGTGTATAATAATAGATCGAAGGATTTCTTTTTAATTAACAGTAGAATGTATATTTTGAACATTTTCAAAGGAGGAGTTTGTTTTTGCCAGAAAATCCTTTTGTTAATTATATGTTGTTTCGATGTTTTAAGTCAGTCTGAATCGTTTGAGAACAAAATTAGAAAACTAGTGGTGCATGGCATCGTGCCTTATAGCAAATTGCTGGAACTTGCCCTACCGAAAACTAGAATTTTTAAAAATACTTTAAATTAATTCAAAAAAATTCAAAACTCTGAAATAATTAGATTTTTGTGAATTTTGAAATTGTTAACTTTTTGGAATAATTAGATTTTTTTTATATTTTGTATTTTTTGAAAATTTTGAACTTTTTTTAAATTAATCACGCTGCATAGCTGTTTTAGAGTCGAAATATCGAAGCGCGTAAGCGCCGCATCTTAGTCTAAAGTGTAAACATTGGTACGGAACCCATAGAAATGTACACAAAATCTGCAATCTCTGTAATCACAATATCTGATAATATGATGTGTATATGTCTAATGATCATTTTTGACCGCCAAATGGCATTATTTTTATCTTTTTTATTGGATTTCCGGAAACGCTGCACCTGCCTTCCCAAATATTTTACCAATTGTTCTTCAATACAAGTAAAATGTTTTTTGAGTAATTCAAATCGGACGCTCCGTTTTCTCTAGAACTGAAATACAATTTTTGTCACTTTTTGTCCCGTATCATAGAAACTGCTAGACCTGCCTTTGCCAAAAAAATAAGCACGTCTCCTCATCAATAGGAATCGAATGTTTTTGTTTCAATGCTGATCGGTTAATTCGTGTTCCCGAAATCGTCGACGAAAAATTGTATGCACACACATACACACGCACACACGCACACACATACAAACATTTTTTCTAAGATTTGCCAAATTGTTCAGAAACCTTTAAAACGTAAAGATATATTATAATTTTCATTTTCGACTTTTTTGCGATTACTATAGCTTGCCCTACGGGAAGTTAGAAAATATGTGTGTAAGCCAAATATTGGACTTTTGTCAACGTCTTTTGAGAAACGGCTGCACCGGTTTCAAAATTAAAGCTTTTAAACTTTGAAAGCCATAACGATTTTCATTTGATATGATATAAAGATATGATACATTCATTTCAGGAACCAACTCCAATGAGGTCTCCTCCTGAAGATTTCCTCTCAAATGTAGACAGTAATGACATAATGCCCGATGATGCAGCTTTGTCTCTTCAAAAGGAACCGATGCCAAAACATTCTAGTTCGGAATGCGTTTTCAACAAAAATGGAATCTTTTTCACTGTAATTTTGAATTCATTAATAATAATTAGATTGTTAAAGTAAATATTATAATTTAGTTCTAACATTTTGTTTTGTTCTGAAGATGCTGAAAAGCGTGCTTCAAATATTCCTTGCTATATGTGTATGTCTAGATATATTGAAGAAATATTACATGTTTAAATTTGTTCGCATAGAAGATATATATATATATATATATATATATATATATATATATATATATATTATATGTACATATATCTGTTTGAGGAAAAATTTAAATATAGATATGCATGTGTGATAGGCTTGTCAATGTATAAATATTTCAATTATTTAATGAATACATTTCTTCTTCAATTTTTCCTCTGTTTGAAAATCGACCAAAATCTTTTGCGGATTGCTTAACAATGATTATGAACTCGATTGACAATTTTTAAATTTATCTTTTTTTCATTTTGATCAAAATCAAGTATAATCGGTTTTCTAAATTGCTTAAAAAGCCCGATCCTTTAATATAATAATCATATCAGTTTGGTTAACCTTTGATATTATGAATATCGTATGTTTTAAGAAAGAATTATTTAATTATTTAAAATGTTTTATTGAGATAACTTAAAATATATGATAAATTAATAATATATAACTTGTGATATGCATTTTTCAAATGTTTTATACATTCTTTTATATTATAGATTATTAGTAATTAGAAAATTGTTGTTTTAATATAATATATGAGATAAACCTTTTTTTGTCATTAGTAGTTTTAATATTGTCACCAATAATGTCAAATTTTATAATTAATTTTATAAGTTTCTGAATGTTCTTTCTACTATTATGAAGATTAAATTACTTTATTATACAGTTTCATATGTTCCTTAACTGTAGATATAGAACACCTTTATAATTTAATATAATAATCAAAAATTCATTATGCAGAATTTTTATTTATTTATTTTACTAGGTTCATATAATGAAATATTTAAATAAGTTGCAGAAGTTCAATTTATCATATAATTGGAGAAATGCTATGTAAATATTGGTTTGAGATTTTTTAAATATTACGGTAAATTTGTTAAAATTAGCTCTGTTGTGTGCATTTTATTGTATGAGGTAAAAACAGGGCTAATAAATATTTTTAAATTTATATTGCTTAATATTTATTATATAGAGTATGCATTCTTTACTATCCATATAAAATTATTAGTATTAGTTTTTATAAATTTAGTTTATTTAATAATTAATTTAATTTATGGTAATTTTAAGAAGTTAAAAATATTAAATAGAAATATAACAATACACTGTAAAGTAATGTGAAAGAAAAATTTTAAACATCATATTATATTTCTGAAGCTCTTTATATTTTTCGAATTATGTAATTCTTTTTTTACTGAACTTTGCTTCAAATGTTCAAATGCAATTCATCATTATATTGCATATTATGCTATTAATATTTATGCTATAACAGTTATGGTTATGGACATGCACTTTGAATTATATAATAAACTGAGATTCAAATTTTTAATTTTAAAATTTTTATTTGTTACCACATAATTTTATACGATTTATTGTTATATTTCTTATGGTAATCAAATTCAAAAAAGACCTAGTTCAATAAAAATGTTTACTGTTTCACAATAAATATTAACAAAAAGTCATTAATGTTAGAAATGAATAAACTTCAATAAAATTAATTGTAATGTACCTGTGTACAACGTTTTTTACAGTCTCCAATATTAGCAGTAGCTTTTGTTCAAACTAATCTTTCAAAATGTAGTATTTTCATATTTCTATCTCTAATAAAATATTTTTAGCTATATTCATTTTTATAAAACTATTTCTTAAAATTTTGTATTTGTGATAGCAATTTTCAATGTTAGTGCAGAGTGTTAATAGATAGAGATTTGATAACATTTTTTAGCACATTAATTAAATGGGCTTTATTGTTTTTTAATGAAATACGTTATTAATTATGAATAGTTTTATTAATTCAAAGTATTAAGTAATTAATATGTAATTGAATTCACAGGTCCACAAAAAAAACGTTGTCTGTATTGGTGTGCAATATAGTTTTCACAGCTGAATATGAATCTAAAGTCAAACTTGAGGGTCAAATGGCAAAAAATTGATTTTTTTTTTTAAAGAAGTAAAACCTTCGATTTAGTCTTATAATCTTATAATTTTGACTATTGAGTCTCAATTAAATCATCTATTGAGTTTTTTGTATAATTCAGCATAAATTTGCAAATTTATTCCTCATTACCCCTGGGTAATCTTCAAACATATTTGCAAATAAATATCTGAAAATATGTTTGCAAATTACTGCAGTTATTGGTCATTTAAGATAGAAAGTGTTTGGAAACGACAGAAATTCAGATCAGAGATTTTATCGTTTTTCTATTTTTTTACACTTTTTTGCAATTTGACCCCTAACTTTGACTTCGTGTTCAGTATTAAAAACTACAATCGAAAGTATATGCCGCATACCCAATACAGACCAATTTTTTGTGGACTTTTGTTATTTATTGTTTTGCATTTTGATATATTTTAGTTTCTTGAATGAATAAGAGTTATATTTAATAATATTTGACGAGTGATTATAATTATAATGCAGCTTTTTGAAAAATGTGCTAAAGAATGCTGTCAAGCACTCGAACAATATGGTGTTGCCTTGGAATGCAAAACTACAATTGAATAAGCTTTATTCAGAGTTGTAAATATTAAAAGTTAAATAATGCTCAATGTGCAGAATTTGTAAAAAAAGCCTGATGTAAAATTAATCATGAAAATGAAGTGCTTGAAAAATATTAAAATGAGATGGTATTGATTAGGAACCATTCATGTATATATAGGACTGCAAATATAAAAATAGATAAGTTAATATAATGTAAAATAAACATAATGAAAATATATATTTTATCTCATAATATATTCTTGCATTAATATATGATAAATATATTTCATATGCATGTATAATCACTATAAAAGCATATGATTGTTTCATGAATCACCAAATGTTCAAACTAAAATGTTCAATATGAATAATACTCCCCATATAATTATGATTCAATAATCAGTTTTACTTTATGTGTATTATTCATATTTTAAAAGCTAAATTATAGGTTATGGTTTTTTATATCGTATTTCAATACAAGGTACAAAGTAGTTTATATCAATAAATGATGTTTTAAATTGGTCATACTATTATATATGATACGTTGAATTATCAATTACTTTAGATTTTTAAATTGAACATATGTTTGTAAATGTTTATAATATATGTTTATTTGTATGCTTTTAATAATCAAATAAATTGTAATAAGTAATTCATTTCTTTTTGTGTAATCTTGATAATTAACTAGTGGTGTATGGCAAAGCGCCTTAAGGGAAAGTGCTCGAACTCAGGCCCGTGCCTGGGTATGTGGTCGTCTGCGTGCGAGCATTTTTTGGCCGCCCTTGAAAATAACACAATAGGAAAATATCAAATATGTTCTCACAAAAAATCGTCTTTTTTATGTTTTCCCTACGTTTCTAGTCATTATGAATCGTTTGAGACTAAATTTGAAAAAAAGTGTGTATATGAGGCGATTTTTTACCTTTTGCCAATGTTTTCTCAAAAACGGTTTTCAAAAATTTGAAAGTCATTTGATGTAACTAGGTAGCAACTACAGTCTGTCAGTTTTGTGCAACAATCGGCCAAGCCGTTTTTAATCAATAGAAAAGTGTACAAATTTTCGTATTTCGCCAAAAATTGTGCATCGTTTTTAAACATTCAGAAACTGAAAGATATCATTTGGGAATCGTGCTTATTAGTTGTAATAATAATTGGCCGGATCGTTTCTTCGTATTTAAACGAATATTTTTTTAGGATGATATATATAAAACTTTTTTGACGATAGAGATCTTGATCTCAAATATAACTAAATATTTCAACCCTACGACAAGTCGTTTTAGTTTTCAATATATTATCAAAGTTTGAATCAAATGAGCAGCACTTTTTTACGCGAGGCAAAATTTCATCTTTAGTCTACGTTTTCTAAAAAATGCGCAATCCTATTTGAAAATTTGACAAAATTCGATAAGCACTTGTGCTGGTTAATTTTGCCTCACGATCGGTCGAGCCGTTTCTTTAGAATTGTCAAAAAAGTCAAATTTTTCGTCCACGTTATAGCCTAAATTTTTGAATCGATTTTGAAAATTCATTAACCATTACAAAGGTACTATTTGAGAATCGTGCTGATTAGTTTTTGTCTATGATCTGTCGAGTTGTTTGTCAGTTATTGATTAACAATTTTTTTGGCAATTTTGGATCTTGCTCTTAATGAACATACTACACGTTTATTTCTTGTTAAATAATATTTATTTTGAAACCATTTTTAAAAAATAACTAACATGATTAGAAAATTTGTATAACATTGAATAATCTGCGATCGTTTTTCACATTTCACTCATGAATTAATATATTTTTTATACTTTTAAGTCGATTATTTACTCATGTTGAAAAAATCATGCATCTTGCTTTAAGGCAAAGTTGCCACTTACACCAAGTTTATACACTTATTAATGATTTTGAAACAAAGCTTTCAATAGCTGTTTTTTGATTCGATCTCGCTTTCAATACGGCCGCCTTTGGCTGATTTTGACTACGGTCGTCTTTTAACACAGCGGATTTTCAATACTGTCTCGAATGAATTCACCGGACTTTTAGTTTGGCCGCCTCTTAATCCAGCGGTATTACAATTTGACCGTCTTTTAATTCAGTAGACTTTCAACGCGACGGTTTTCATTATGGCCGCTTTTTGTGTATGGCCGCCTCTCGGCCGCCCCAAAAGGCGGCCACCTGCGTGCGGCGCGCGCACTGCACGCTGGCCAGGCACGGCCCTGCTCGAACTTCATGTATTATAACTTAAAATTTCTAAAAGTTTCTAAAAAAAATTTTACTTTAAAAAAAAATAAAGAAAAAATATAAATTTTTGAAAAAAATCGGATTTTTTTTTAAGTGTTAATTTTTTTTTCAAAGCAATTGCGCTGTGTTGTTGTTTTAGAATAAGAGCTTTTCGAAGTAACGGCGATTTATTATAAATATTTTTACAGAACCCATAGAAACGCAAATAAAAATTAAACCTACTATTAAAATCTTATATTAACTTCCCGTAGGGCAAGTCATAGTAATCGCAAAAAATTGAAAATGAAAATTTTCATATATCTTTACGTTTGAAAGGTTTCTGAACATTCTGGCATACCTTAGAAAAAATAGATGTATGTATGTTTTTTTTGTATAGCGAAGGAAATGCCTTTGTATGTCGGACTCAATACCGCCCTGGTATAATACCGACTAAAACCTCCGCCTCTGGTATCCACGGAAACCGCCGTTAGGCATTACTTCGTGGGGGGAGGATCTAGAATGTTATCATTCTTCACTTGATTTTATACTCATCTTTTAAATGGGCGAAGTCCCATTCGTCCTTTCTCGTTCCATAAAGCGCAGGTCAATTAGCACCCTCTCGCAAATCCGTCTATGGCGTTCCAAGCAGCTTCACTTGTCAGCATCACTTCAACAACATTACCTGTGGTAATGCTTCGTCTCAATGTCTCTTCCACATCGTCCCATAGAGCACCAAATCGCGGGCACACGAAGAACACATGCTCGGCATGTGGATGGATGTATGTGTGTGTGTGTAAGTGTGTGTGCGTGGATGTGTGTGTTCGGATACAAATTTTCGTGGACGATTTCGGGAACACGGATGAAGCGATTTGAATAATTCAAAAAACATTTGATTCGCATTGATAAGGAGACGTGCTGATTAGTTTTTGGCAAAGGCAGGTTTAGCCGTTCCGAAGATACGGGGCAAAAAGTGCCAAAAACGGTAACTCAGTTTTTCAGAGAACGGAGCGTCCGATTTTAATAATTCAAAAAACATTTTACTTTTATTGACAAGATGAAGAATTGATCAAATTTTCATAAAGGCAGGTCTAGCGGTTTCGGAGATCTAATGAAAAAAGTAAAAAAAAATGCCATTTGGTGGTCAAAAATGATCATTAGACATATGCACATCAAATTATCAGATATTTTATAGAGATTTTAACAATAAGTATAAATTTTGTTTACATTCCTATGAGTTCCGTACCAATGTTTATCCGATAGAAGGCGACGCGGCGCTTACGCGCTTTGACATTTCGTCTCTATGCAGTTAAAGCAGTACGATTGCTTTGAAACAAAGTTCAGAATTTCCAAAATATGTCAAAATAAAGAAAACATTTTTTTTTCAAAAAAAAAGTAATTTTTTGTCAAAAATATAGTTTCTCAAAAATCTAATTTTTCGAAGTAAATTTTTTTAAAAAATGTTAATCATTTTAAAAAAAATAATAATTTTTGGTACGGGTAGTTTCAGCAATTTGCCTTAAGGCACGATACCATGCGCGCCTCACTAGTCTTATTATAAAATATCTGATAATTTCATGTGCATGCGTCTAATGATCATTTTTGACCGCCAAGTGGCATTTTTTTACGTTTTTCATTGGATCTCTCGAACTGCTAAACCTGCCTTTTCAAAAATTCAATCAGTTTTTCATTTTGTCAATACAAGTAAAATGTTTTCTGAATCTTCCAATCGGACGCTCCGTTCTTTCCCAAAGTGAATGGCCATTTTTGGTACTTTTTATCGTTTGGTAATTTTTTTTCTATTTTTAATCTCCGAAATGTCGGTACCTGCTTCTGCCAAAAACAAACCGGCACATATCTCCAATAAAACAAATTGAATTGACATCGGACGCTCATTTTCATTTTTTTGTGCGATTATTTAACTTACCCAACGGGATGTTAATAAGAGAAAAATAAACAAACTATTTTTTGGTGATTTATTTATTAGGTAACAATATACATTCACATATAAATGTACAAATATAGAGTTTCAGAAGCATACAATCTAAAAGTAAAAATTATCAAATTGTATTTATTATAGTTTAAAAAATAAAAGTGTATCCTGACTATCTTAAGCGTTTACTGCTGTTTCGATTTTATAAAACGATACATATATAAACCTTTTGGGGTCGAGTTTAAAATACCCTGGTTTTTTAAAGTTTCCAAATTTAATATTTTGCAAATGTGGTAAAAAGTATAGTATTTTGCTTTAAGGCAATTTGCTGGAACTTTTCGTGCCGTATTTTTTTAAGCACTAAATTTTTTGAAAACTGAAAAAGATAGTTTTATAAATAATTTAAAATTTTTGAAAAAAATCGATGTTTTCAAATTATGGAATTGAAAGTTTAAATGTCGAGGACATTTATTTGAACCGTATAAGTGAACTTTAAATGTTAAAAATATTGGTACAAAACCCGAAAAAATTGAAACAAAATTTGTATTGATAAGATGAAGAACTAATTAAATTTTTGCGAACGCAGATTTAGCCCGATTTAGCCGTTTCGAAAATTTAATGAAACAAGTGAAAACAAAATGTCATTTGGCGGACAAAAAAGATCATTAGACATATGCACTGTTAATGTATTTGTACTTGTTAATAAGTACAAATTTCTGTTTATATTTCTGTGAGTTCCAATTTTGATCCGCATTTCATTGCAACGCCGCGCTTAAGCGCTTCGATATTTCGTCTCTATACAGCGCGATTACTTCGAAAAAAGTTCAAAATTTTCAAAATATAAAATATATTTCAAATTCACCAAAAACTTTGTTTTCAAATGCGTACTTCAAAAATCCATTTCTTTCAGTTTTCCTGAAATTTTAAAACTTTTTTAAAAATTTCAATTGTTGGTACGGAAAGTTCCAGCAATTTGCCATAAGGCACGATGCCATACACTACTAATATTTGTCAACGTCAAGAAACTCGCAATCTTGAATGGGGTTGTGAATGCAAGTTTTAGAAGCCCTGGAGTAAACGCTGAATTGTAACTACACAAGGAGAAGGAATTAGCGGCGACATCTGGAATCGTTACGAACATTCAGCATTAAAATCATTAAAATTAAAAATTCAGCATTGGCTAAAATAATATGTATTACAAAAGGCAAAATCTAAAATTCAAATTATAGGTTTCGGCTTAGGCGACATTGAAGATAAAAATATTATTTCTGTACTTACCAATAAGAATCACAATGTGCTTCGAAATTTCAAGCCACACTTTGTAACAAACTGTCACGCTGTCAAGTGAAAGCTGTCAGTAGAAAGTGTTTTTTATACAAATAAATTATTGTTTTCTAATTGCTTTTGTTGAATGAAAACAATAAAAATATTGTGTTATAGAAATTTTTAATAATTTAATAATTTTTATAATAGTTTTATAAGCATAGGTGAATATAATTCCAAAGTGCATTTTATTACTATTAGAAAAATGTTTGCTAGAGTATCATTTTATCCCACTTTGTTTTATAATATTTTTATGGAAAAAGTATCTAGTAGAAGATGGTATGATAGAATCGATGATCATGTCATTTTAGGAGCATTACCGTTTCCAAGCGTTGCTGATAAGGTTAGTTGATAAGAAGTTACATTCACTTATAAATAAATTCACTTATTATATAGTTTAACTATTTTCATTATTACAGTTAATTCAAGAAGAAAATGTTAAAGCCATTGTGTCTATGAACGAAGATTATGAGTTATATTTTGCCACCAATGGAAAGGTTAGATTCAAATTTCACAGTTACTCACTTACAAATTCAAAATAAATTCGATTTTAAACTAGTGGTGCATCGTGCCTTAAAACAAATGATGAAACTTCCGACACACTGTGAGGATTGAAAATAATCAATAATTAATGCAAGTTGATCAATGATTTGAAATTATTAATAAAATCATTAAATTATCATGAATTATTTACAATAATATTATATATTAAAATGTAATTCTTGGAATTAGTAAAATATTCATGTTCATTAACTTTAATTCTTGAATATAATAGACAAAGAATTTAATTTACAATTTATGCTATAAATACATATAGTCATTATAGACTACTAAAACATTCTGTAATCACTGTGTTCCTATGTATTTTGACAATAACTTTTTGTTTTATTTATTTCATTTATCATACATTTTCTGCATAATAATTATTATTTTGTTACAGAAATGGAATGAACAAGGTGTAAAATTTTTGCAATTAGCCACAACAGATATATTTGAAGCGCCATGTCAAGATAAATTAATGCAAGGCGTTAAATTTATTAATCAGTTTCTGCCAGCTAATAACAAAATATTCAAAGAATGTAATAAGTTAGAGAATCATAACTCGGTTGGTACTGTATATGTACATTGCAAAGCAGGCAGAACCCGAAGTGCAACATTAGTTGGATGCTATCTTATAATGGTACTATATTTTTTTTTTTAATTCTCTACAAAAAATATTTAGCTGTATGATGAATTCATTAATTCCATATTTTAATATGTGCATATGTGCAATGTAATGTTGTTACCATTAATTAATATACTATCATTAAATCGTTACATTTTACATTTAAGATGCACGTATATATTTTAACCAAGGAAAACTTTCGGTCTAATCGTGTTTGTGTTGCAGTTTATAAAGTTAACAGCTTGTTAGTTGTTAATATCATAAAATGTAATATTTATTCTGCATTTTTGTTTCAGAAAAATCAATGGGATCCTGAACGAGCAGTTGAGCACATGCGAAGCCGTAGACCACATATATTGTTGCATACAAAACAATGGTCTGCACTTGAAACATTTTATAAAAACCATGTGAATAAAACTTCAAAAGCAAATTCATGACTACGGTTATAGAAATAAAATTATATGAATTATTTAATTTCAAATATTAATTTTGAAAATTCTTTCGATGCGTACTTACGATTTTCAACATTGCAATATAAGACAAACCTCAAATATATTAAAAATAGATTTTTATATATTTATTTATGTTAAGTTTTTAAATATATAGATGATGTTGGTTATTTATTTCTTTATTACTCATATATATATATAATAAATATGACTATTTTCCTTATTTATTTATGCATATTTTTTTTATTTATTTATAAACTTTTATCAATTAAATTAAAGAAGTGAAATATATATATATATATATATATATATATATAATAAATATGACTCTATTTTCCTTATTTATGCATATTTTTTTCATTTATTTATAAACTTTTATCAATTAAATTAAAGAAGTGAAATATATATATATAAATATATATATAATAAATATGACTCTATTTTCCTTATTTATTTATGCATATTTTCTTCATTTATTTATAAACTTTTATCAATTACATCAATTATGTTGAATATTATTATCTACTTAACTAAATTTTATTATACAAAATCATAGCTTTATGAGCTCATCAATCATAAATTAAATTTATTAATGATGGAATTGTTCATATGATGCTAAATTATACTTCGTGTACCTGTTAAAATAATTTTAAGTCATTTAAATTTAAGCAATTTAAACATTTGAACAATTCACATTTATTTATATTCTATTTTTGCATAGATTTTTAATACAGTATTTTCAGATTATAGCATAATATATATATTTTTAAAAACTGGAAATGTGCAAACGCATGTGTATTCAGATTCTCATCTTCACTAGTTTTTAATATATTAGAGCAGTGGTTGAGACAATTTTACTGAAGCTAACTTAGTGCATGGACTACTATGTAGCAAAAACATTAAATGGCAATTAAAAATATATTTTTAACTCAAAAATTCTATTTTTACTCAATTTGAGGTAATTCACTCCGGTTTTCCGATCGATGTATTAAAGACAATTATATTTAAAATTTTGCTACAATGCGTATTTTTAACTTCTCGTACTGTAATCGCAAAAAAATTGAAAATGAAAATTTTTATATATCTACGTTTCAAACCTTCTGAACCTTTTTGCATACATAAGACAAATTAGATTTATGTTTGTGCGTGTGTGTGTATACAATTGTATACACACATACACCTACATACTTACTAACATACACATACAACATGTATACATACTTACTAACATACACACACCCATACATACATACTTAAGTGGGTATGTATGGGTGTATGTATGTTAGTAAGTATGTACGTGTTGTTTATGTAAGTGCGGATACAATTTCTGGTCGACGATTTCGAGAACACGGATAAACCGATTTGAATGATTCAAATTCGAACATTCGATTCCTATTGATAAGGAGGCGTGCTACGTAAATTATTGGCAAGGCAGGTTCAGCCGTTTCTAAGATACGGGGCAAAAAGTGCCAATTCAGTTAACTTCCAATTTTAATGATTCAAAAACCGTTTTATTTGTATTGAATGAAGAACTGATTAAATTTTTGGAAGGACAGATCCAGGGATTTTGGAGATCCAATAAAAAAATGAAAAAAAAGCCATTTAAAAGTCAAAAATAATATTTATTGGTATTTTTGTAGGTTAAATTTTAATTCTTGGTATGGAAAGTTTTAGCAATTTGCCTTACGGCAAATTAAATTAAATTTTTGGTTAAGCATTTTCATATTCAATAAATCGAATCTCCCGCCGAATAGTAGTTCTGCAGTATCTTAACGCGTGCAGCGCCACCAACGCATTCACTTCAATGGCAATTCTATGGCAATGCTCTTCGCAAGATCGCAACTGCACATTTTTATGTCAATCTCGAATTAATAAAGATTAGTAAGTGCTTTTTGCTGCTCCCAAGCTCCTGTATGTAATAAATAGTGTTAAGTAATTTGTAAATAAATAATATTAATATAACATTTAATAAAAATGGAGCCCGTATATTATAAATGCCGTGCAAGTGGTGTAGATTTTAGTAAGGCATTTTGAGTGTTGTGTCAAAATATATTTATAAAGTGTTGTATATAAATAACAGTTGGAAAAATAGCTTCGCATTCAAGAAACACGGATTCTAACATGGTCAAAAGGTTAGTTGTAATTTATATTCTATTTAAATCTAATGTTTCGTCCTTTGTTTACATCGTTGCGTATATGTCCATTATCGATTTGTTCTAAAACAGCTGTACGAGCGTCCCTATTTGAAAAGCGTGGGATGTAAATAAAATTTTGAGTTCTGCTCTATTTTAAAAAAATTCCTTTGTACATATATTATTTTTAAGACGCAAAATATCAGTGTGTTAGACCTCCTTTGAGTTTATGGTAATTGTGTTGTTGAGAGGTCGAGCACGTTTTTGTAATATGCACACCGACGCATCTCTGAAATAGTATACAAGTTGATTTATTCTTTATGAATGCATAAATACATCCGCCTTTAAAACTATTATTATCTTGCTCAATTCAAAATTATAAATTAATTTTATAGAATTTAATTTGTACAACTCTGTCCATTCTGCAGAGAATTAAGAATAATAATGTTCAGAAAGAATTTTGTTCAATTCTGTCTGGTCTTGTCGAATGTGGCGATATTGCATATTTAACTTACGTTGATGCATTTTCAGTTTATGTTGTATAATTCATTTATTGTTATACAAATAAAAAACGTAAATTTAATTCTGACAAATTGTTTTTTCACTAACAATTCTGAAAGCCAGTTGCTTCGACTTATATTATTTTGAATAATTTAAATAGATTTTGCTATATTCTACCAATTTCCTATTTAAAATTTAACAATTGTTGTAGATATAATACTTTACTTTACCTTTCATAGTTTGTTTTATTTTATAATTAAATTAAATTGTAATAAAACTTTTAAGATTATGTAGTAGGATTGTAAATTTTGTAAATATAATTTATAAAACAGTGATTTCCGACCTTTTTGTACCGCCCCCCTGATTCTAAAAAAATGTTTGCAGTTCCCTATAATTTTTTTAATAATCTAATTTCATATATACTCAACTGATATTTAATTAACTTTCCGTAGGCTAAGTTATAGTAATCGTTCAAAAATCGAAAAAATACTTTTTTGCATATCTTTACGTTTAAAAGTTTCTGAACATTTTGGCATAATTTAGATAAAAATGGTTGTGTGTGTTTGTATGCACGGACACAACTTTTCGTCCACGATTTCGGGCTCACAGATCAACCAGTTGGAATGATTAGTTTGATTAGAGACGTGCTGATTAGTTTAGGACAGACGAAAGGTCCAGCCGTTTCCGAGATACGGAGCCAAAAGTGCTGAAATGGAATCTTGTTTTTTTCGAGAACGGGTCACCCGATTAGAATGAAGTAATTAGTTTTTGGTATACATAAGAATTTTTTTTAATTTCAAAATTTAAAAAAAAATCGAAACATTTTTTTTGTTGTTAAATATTTAAAATGATTCGGATTTTAATTTGAGCCTAAAAACATTTAAAATTTATCTAATATTTCATTACGGTACGGAAAGTTCCAGCAATTTGCCTTAAGTCACGATGCCATGCAATACAGGTTCGTTATCATTCTGCAAATTAATATACAATATCATATAAAATTATTCACAGAAATAATTATTTGCGCATTATTTCTTTTAATTCATTTAAATACTTTTAGTTTATTTGCAAAAATAGTAGTTTGTACAGGTTGGAAATCACGGTATTAAAAGGATATGCTACTGTTGCACTTTATTACTGTAATTTATATTGAACTATAATAAAATCAATAATTGGATTTTTTAATTTTTTTATTGTAAAGAATAGTAATATGTTTAAAAGGTATGTAAAGAACAACATTTACGATCTTTATCAGAGCCTTACACCGCAATTACGTCTGTAAATATTCACTTTTTCTTATCAATATTTTGTTAATTCATCTTAGGGATTTAGTTCATCTAAGTTCAAACAAATTATTTCTTGTCGACATGTGCGTGTACTACAGTATTTGTAATATTTGTTCTTGAGAGAAAATGAACTATCTCCGATAGCCAGTGCATTCTTATTTAGATATTCATCTCATAGTAAATACTGTGTAAATGAAAAAACCTTAAGTATATTGGTATAAACTTATTTAGAACTAATGAAGCGTTGCCGAAGTCATAAGTGAAAATTTAAGAGATCGAACGAAGAAACTTAAGTCAAAATTACAGAGAATAATCAGTTCTTAAAAAAGCTGATTCAATTTGCTAATTTGGAGGTTTTAGTCAAAATACAATGGCAATATGAATATCACAATACATTTTGAAAATGTACCTACAAAACCTTATATTTTTAGGTTCATTCTCTTTCGAAACACATTCATTCATAAGTTAATTTAAAATCATATGCAGATATTATACTGTTTCAAATCACGAATTTGCAATAAATCAATATTTCTATGTGTTCGAAGCTTTTATCTGACCTTCGATTTCTTCTATAATGCATTGATGATATAAGATTTAATACATGGTATCTGTAGAGTTTGTTTCAACAATTTACATTTTCAATTTAGGGAATTTTGTTCGATTTGCCATTAAGGAAATTAAACTTAAAAGGTTCGTATCCATTATTCTTGATACTATGGACAGACTATAGAGCAAATAAAAAAATTACCAAATGTTACTGCTATAATTGTTTTGAATTTTTTAATGGTAAGTTATTTTTTTATTTTTGAAGGATTTATAACATAAAGATTTTCAGAATTTTGAAAAGCTATATTGTCTCATTTATTGATGTGTCCTCTGCCCCAAAATTCGGCTATATCCTTCTCATTCGACAAAAATTTCTTCACAGTCGAGCACCTCTTGAGATCTGAGAACAGCAAACGCGGTCGCTGGAGAACAGATCTGAAGAATGCGATGGGGAAGCAATTCGTAGCTAAATTTATTTGCCGCTGTTTTCAATGATTTGTGACATGGTGCGTCGTGTTGATGAAGCAGCACTTTATTCTTCTCCAAACGGCACCGTGCCAGTTCTAGCTTCGATCTTCAAATGCTCCAATGACGTTATACAATAGTCACTGTTGATGGCCTTTCTGAAGATGGCCGATGAAGATCACTTTTTGTCAATCCCAAACATCTGACGCTATATCCTGCATTTTTCCTCGTTTATCGTGTCCAGTTTTTTCGGCTGACTGTCTATTGGACTCCGAAGTGAAGCCAGGTCATATTCACTATAACATATCGATGCAAAAACGCAGTTTTATGTCGAATAAAAAGCTCCATATACTCTTTCGAATGATCAACTCGTTTTGCTTTTGGTCAAATGTCAGCTCACGGCAGCACTGAGCTTTTTTATATCCAAATATTCGTGAACGATATGTCCACCACGTTACATTGATATATTTAGTGTGTCAGCTATCTCGATCAACTTTTACCTTAAGGCCATTTCAAATGATTTCGTAGATTTGTTTTATGTTTTTGTCGATAACCCCTACTTTTTGGGCATCCACTGTGCGCATATCGTCTTCAGTACGCATATGGCCAGTACGGAATTTCTCAAACCCTCTTTTAATGATTCCATCGCTTGGTGCGTATAACAATCATCAAGCCAATTTTTCGGCTCAATATCACTTTTTCCCATCAGCAAATGCTCCATTAGCACACGAAATTCTTTGTTATCCATTTTCTTCAAAATAACAAAAGTATCTTTACTCAAAACGTAATAGCTCTCGAACTAATCGTCCGATTAATTGGCTGCTATCTAACTAAAAGTAACGTGTTTAATACTATTGGCTCTTGGTGATAGCTATTTTAACCCACATTTCTTATAAGCAGTATTTGTCGTATGTATCATCTAATTTCAACCTATATTTTTAAAAAATTCGAGACTACCGAACTTGAACCTCGGACAATTTTTGCTTCAGGAGTTTCGTGACTGTCCCGGCCAAATCAGGACGTATGGTTATCTTACATTTAGTCTTCTCACAACTACCACTACCAATTTACGTTTTTAGTTTAGAGTTGTCTGATTTGTGCCTAATCTAACACTGATAAATATTCATAATCTTATTATGATGTTTTGTACTTAAAAGTACAGGTTTTAGTTAATTTAAAAAAGGCGCAAACTTTTTGTCAACTGCAATTTTATATTGCTTTTCCTTATTTTAGACTATTTTTAAAAATGTTTTCCGTAATTTCTTAGGAATTTTGACGGAAAGCCCAAGCAATACTTTTTAAGGTAGATGCTTTTGTGGTTCGTCATTGAATTGATCGGTTTATTTTGACTAATCTTTTAATTATACGCTACATGATAGTCTTTCTATTTATAAACATCAAAGCTCGAAGATTAATTGTCGACATTTATTGCATAGTGTTTGTGACATACTTAACCAATAATATATGCATTAAATACATATGGTTTTTGCTTGTTTTGCGTAGTTGTAAGTTCGAGCCTCAAATTTTTTGAAAGTTTGAATTGAGAAGAAATTGAAACTAGTTGGTATTGGTATTTTGCCTTGAGGCAAGTTGCATGAACTGCCCGATATGTTAAAATAATCGACTTAATCAAAAAAATAAATTAATTTACGAGTGATATTTGAAAACGGACGAACACGTGAACTCGGAGTATTTTCCAAAAGCAAATTTTCAAAAATCAAAATGTTCAGAAACCTTCAACACGCGGAGAAATGTAAAAGAGTTCAATTTCGATTTTTGGACGATTACAATAACTTACCCTACGGGAAGTTAATAAATGACAATTTTTATATGATATTTTCAATATGTATTGCTTCTATAGATTTTGTTGAATAACGTTAAATTAACATTGAACCAGATTAGACTTACCGCAACGATATCGATTTTGCGCAAAAATAGTAGGTGGCAATTATCCTAGATAGAAAAATTGCTTAAAAATGCATGTCATTCTCAATTTCGTCATACTGAAGATATCTAATATTATTATAATCACAAAATGTGTGCACTATTACAAATGCATACACGATTTTCATTTTTCCTAGGCGGTCTTATAATTATCATAAAAATTCTGCGTGAAAGTTTTGAATAATTATAAAGATAATGTTTCCAATTGTTTCTCTATTTATTTTTGTTCTGCGGAAATGTTTTGCATATAGTGCGTTT